AAATATTTATGTCATATTAAAATGACCTTATAAATATTTTTCTGTAGGCTAAAATAATAAGGTTATAATTGGAAGCTGATTTAGTAGGTAATGCTAGCTTAAACTTAAAATTATAAGAAAGCAGTTTTAGGTAAATATATTTAAATGAGTGTTCTACTTAGGAAGGAAGGCCAAAGACCATTTTTTGGGTCCAAATATTGCGTTCTTATTTGGCAAATATTTTAGACAGGGATTATTTTGAGACTATATAAAATGTGTATTTCATATACCTATGTGTGAAACTAGCATTATAGCATTTCTTTTTTTGCATGAATTGTAGCCTGCTTATGAGTTATTAAAGTCTTGGATTCTGAAGTTAGGAAAAATCAAATGGTTGTTATTATAATGCCACCTGGGAATAAGTTTTGATTTGTGTTTGTTTTAGAACTGAGGCAAATGGCAGTGAAGTTCAATTTTTGGTATGCTAGATTCTAAATAAGTTGTTGGGAAATATGCCAGAAAATGTCCGGATTGATAATGTTTTCTGTATAAAATTAATGAAGCCATTTTTATTAGATTGAAAGATAAAATTGCAAATGCGAGAATCCATGCAGTCCTGGCTCTTTAGAGACTTAAGACTTCTTGATAATGACTTGCTGCATAGTTAAAGGTATGTGCAACTTCATAATTTTTATTTGATTTTAAATTCTCAGTAGTTGAATTTTTCCTTGTTAAATATATAATGAGAGAATAGCTCATATATGAAACACATACACACACACCATTTAAAGGAACATCAGTTCCAACAGCAATTCTCCGACACCAGCTGGATGTCCTACAGTTCAATTCAGTTTTGACACTAACTACCTGAAGTTAGCGTAGGCCCCACAGGTTAAAGGCCCAGTCCCAGAAGACTGCCCCCATTTCAGATGCCAACTGCAAATCTCTGGTATTCCAAGCTACTTGTGCTTCTGCCTAGCTGACTCCGCCTTGGGCGTTCCCACAGCTCCTCCCCCTCAGGTTTGATATTAATAATTTGCTAGAATGACTCACAGAACTCAGGAAAGTACTACACTTACTGTTACAGTTTTAGGGTAAAGGATACAACTTGGGAATAGCCAAATGGAAGAGATGAATAGGTCAAGGTATCCAGACAGGGTGTGCAAAGCTTTCATGCCCTCTTGTGTGTGCCATCCCCCCAACACATTGATGTGTTACTAACCTGGACATTTCTGGAGCCTGTTTCAATATTTTCATATGGAGTTTCATTGAGTAGACATGATTGATTAATCATTGGCCACTTGTTTGAACTCAGTCCCTT